ATATAAGACTATATGCAAGTGGTTAACTGTGTGTAACAAAAAAATGTAGTGATCCAAACATTTAAGGGTGCAGTTCTCAGTCTTAGGATCCAAGTTGTTGTCAGTCAGGGCAGCGCACTCAAAGATCAGGGTTTGGTGTAGTTATAGGTCACTCATGCTTTTCTAAGATTGAGAACCATTGGTTTTGTATATTCCACATAAATTCATAAAATTACTATTCCATAGATATATTCATGCCTGCAGCATACTTCAGTTAGCAAGATGAATGTGTTCTTGGGCGTTATTTCTTAAACAGAAAATCTGATGCCAGAGATAGAAATAAAATGGAAAGCATTGGATTCATTCCAACACCACTCAAAAAGAGCAGTTCCAACATGCTTCTGCAAAAACCTTTTGTTCAAAATGAACATCCATTTGTGAAACAAAACAATGAGGTGGGCCTTGCATAAGCAGACAACAAAAATTTGACCCTTCTAGAAAACACTTGAAATCCTCCACTTTTCATGATTTCTATTTTTGTTTATAGATCTTTGCTTTTTTAACATGCTTGGGGTGGGGGTGGGGGGCTAATGAGGCATGCTAAACTGCTTTTTGCTTTCCCCCCCCCTCCTCTGTTTTGCTGTTTACACATCAGAGTAAGAGACTCTTAAGGCAGCTGCTGTTCATCTTGCCTGTTGAAGGCAGGTTCACACAACTCCAGGTGGATTGGTTGGAGCAGAATCCTGTTCATTCCCAGCTCAAGCTTTAATAGATTGATTGTAGATACTGCTGCAGCTCATTCTTTCTTCATCATCCTGCCATTGCTAATGCTGCCAAAAAAAACCCCCAGCTAGCCAGAGGAAAAGAAGATAAATAGGGGCAATACAAAAGACTTTATAAAAAGGAGCTTGTTACCAGCTTCATTAACTGAGTAAAATCTATGCATGTGTGTGTGTATACTTACACATATGCGTATCATATTGAATTGTAATTTTTTTTTTACATATTCCATTAAACCAGTTAACACTAAGCTGGCTGTGTGAAGTCAGCTACAACTTTCTGGTTTTCTGCTGTTAGGCCTTTGGGCATGAAGTAGATCAGATCTACAGAATTATATACTTTACTACCTACAGAACTGTACACATTCCATGGCTTCGTGAATAGGTGATACCTGAATTTATTATCCCTGAATGCTACAAGAAAGATGCTGGGTAAAGCTGTCTGACCTTGTTTTGTTTGCAAAACGAACCCTGGAGATAATATAAGCATTGTGTATAAAACAATATGTTACAGTGGTAACAGAATCAGGCCCAGCATTAATGGTTATTTTTGTAATTGCCATTATCCACATACTGAAGTAGAACTGCAAAATGTCATTCAGAAATAAACAAGCAGAAGATGACTCATCCTGATACACAGTAATTAGCGTGTTGACAATTATGATCTGCTAATGGGCAATGGATGTGGAACTGCAGTGCTCTCCCATTCTTTGCTGCACAGTCTGGTGAATCCCCAACATGCTCCAACTTCCTTTTTACGCTTCATAAAGCTTCCCCGCCTGCAATCAAACATACACCAAAGAGATTAAAGAACAGAAAGAGCATTAAAGACAGCTGTGTCAAACTATTTCGCATGAATCAACGAACTCATCATATGCAAAAAGAGCTTTAATTTCTTTCAGCTTTCCAGCAAACCTATGAGGTCAATCACTTTTATTCCTATGTTACAGATGGAAAAGGCTTGAGGCTGCAGGCAGATTCCTCAAGACAGAAGACGTTCTTAGCAAGGATTGGAGTCAAAGCCCAGGACTTTACTAAATAATCCTTGTTGAGAGCTACTTATATGTGGTGTGTAATGTAACATTTGCCTTTTAGCAGCCCCACAATACTGCAGACTTGTGACATGATATATCATTTCCCATTTCTATGTCCCCAGTTTCCATAAACCATTACTACAGCATGATATAGTGCTTTAAGTATTGGACTGGAAGACAAGTCATAGAAACACCTGGGGTCCTTTGAGAAAATCATGCTCTGGCAGCCTCAGATGCAAGTTCCTTTGAACATATTCTGCCAAGAAAACCCCATGATAGGATTTGAAAGCATGGAACAACTACTTATGGGTGAAAGCCAAGCTGGTCTAGTGGTTTGTGTGTTGAACTCAGATTCTGTGGGGCCATGGTTCAAATCTGTGCTCAGCCATGGAAGCATATTAGGCAATCATGGGCATGTCACATTCAGTCTCAGTGCAAGACCATAGCAACCTCCTCTCTGAGTAAATCTTGTCAGGAAAGTCCCATGATAAGGTTGCCATAAGATGGAAATGGATTGAAGGCACTGAACATCCACCAAAATATGTATAGGCATGCGACACAGAAGTGACAGGGGCAAAATTTCATCAGTGTTCAAAGGTCAGCAGCTGAATAGTTGTGATCATCCTATTGTTACACTTCATAATAACCATGACAGTGTTGACACAGGCAGGCAGGGTAATCTCCTATTGAAGAGAAATGGGTCATTGGCAGACGTGCGTATCCCAGACGTAGTTCAGACAGAATAAAATATTGTATTGTCGAAGGCTTTCATGGCTGAAATCACTGGGTTGCTGTGAGTTTTCCAGGCTGTATGGCCATGTTCCAGAAGCATTCTCTCCTGATGTTTTGCCCACATCTATGGTAGGCATCCTCAGAGGTTGTGAGGTCTGTTGGAAACATGGCAATGAGGTTTATATCTGTTGAATGTCCAGGGTGGGAGAAAGAACTCTTATTTGTTTGAGGCAAGTGTGAATGTTGCAATTGGCCATCTTGATTAGCATTTAATGGCCTTGTAGCTTCAAATCCTGGTTGACTGCTGCCAGGGGATTAATTGTTGGGAGGTGTTAGCTGACCCTGATTGATTCTTGTCTGGAATTCTCATTTTTGGAGCGCTGTACTTTATTTACTCTCCTGATTTTACTGTATACCATGTAGCTGTGGATAAGTCTACCAAACACAGTGACCAAACACAAATCAAGAAACATGAAAGACACCGCAGGCTAATTCAACCAGAGAAGTCAGCCATAGCAGAGCCCCTGATGAACCAACCTGGACACAGCATATTATTTGAGAACACAGAAATGCTGGACCAATCCAACAACCACCATGCCAGACTACTCAAAGAAGCCACTAAAATCTACAAGCATGTGGACAATTTCAACAGAAAGGAGGAAACCATGAAAATGAACAGTATTAAAAAATTCTAAAATCAGGACAGTAAATAAAGAGTATTCACATTCACAAGATCTTTGCTGTAGCCTTCATATTCACCAATACTGCTTGGCCCTTCCCACAACCTTTGCTCTGAGGCAAGGTATCTTCAGGATGCCAGAGTCTAAATTCTTTTTTGGTTCCAACTGGAGTTGACCCAGTCTGTTATAGTTGCCACTAGAATTGGATTTAGCCACAAATTAGTGGTTATAGTTATTTTCCAAAGCAAAATAGTTTTTTGTTTTGTTTGTATTTGCTTGTGGAACATTGATTTGAGGACCATCTTGGCTAGCCATTGGAAAGAAGATGAATTGTGTACAGTGAAGATAATAACTTTCCAGATAATAACTCAATTATTTGGAGTATATAGCAACACTAACCAGCAGTACGACCTTACAGAGATGTACCACTTTGCTCTGTTCCTTTCTTCCCCCATCAAAGATCATCAATGAATGACCCTCTAACTGTTGTTAGTCTATGGTTTCCCTCAGCCCATTTTTCCATAGCCAATGAAGGATGATAGGAGTTGCAGTTTAACATCTAGAAAGTGATACATCTCTGTTTTGCCATGATGTGGATAGAAATGTGTATGCATTCATTTCTAGAGGGACAATTTAAGAAACTGAACCAAACTCACACTTGTCCCCCTTCTAGCTGTCAAATACAAAGCAGCTGTTTTTCAAATGAGAGGCTACTTGATCAAAGACAGCCACAAGCCACAATTCTGGACACCACAAGTAATCTAATTTCCAGACCACCATTTTAAAAACATCCTTTCTTCATTTTAAAAAATGCAACTAGCTGGCAAGAGGGCAAAATGAGTAATTGAGTATAAGCCTTGATTTTCAGCCCTTTTTTAGGCTGAAAAAGTCCCCCTTGGCTTATACTCGGGTGAGGGTCCTGGCAGGAAGGCATGGGGCTGAAAGGGCTTTTTTCAGCCCCTCACCTTCCTGCCAGAACCCTCACCTCTTTGCACAGCAACCCAGCTCTCTTTCCTCTCTCGATGCAGCGCGCCTTCCTCTCCTCCTCTCTCGCTGCCAGCTTTCACACTTTCCCTTATTCATATACACACAGTATTTCCCCCAAAATGTATAGTTAAAATAAACTATGGTGATTATTGGATGGATAAATAAGCACATTTACATTGAAGGTTAGAATAATGATTTAATCAGAGTTGGGCAGTCTTATCTTAAATTAGTTTTATGTAAATATTCAAAAACATGTAACCTATTGATACCTCAATTAATGTAATTTTATTGGTATCTATTTTTATTTTGAAATTTACCAGTTGCTGCTGCATTTTCCACCCTTGGCTTATACTTGAGTCAATATGTTTTCCCAGTTTTTGTGGTAAAATTAGGTGCCTCTGCTTATATTCGGGTTGGCTTGTACTCGAGTATATACGGCTAAATGAATAGATGCAGGAATCAAAATTCAAGTCTCATTTCCCCTCATGTTTTTTTGTTTTGTTTTGTTTTTTTTGCACTGAGACACTTTATGTTGATTCCAAGGTGAAACATACTAAACCTGATACAGGTCCATGTGTCGTGGCATTTTCATACCCTCTCTTTGCAGTTTATACGTGTTTGCTTAGTTTGTGCTAACAGCAGAAGCGATCACAGCTTGAGCTAAGAGCAGGGGAGGATCTGTTGGACCTTATGTCGCACAGTTCTGCCTCTGAGAACAAAAGATGACTTCCTACAAATGCTCTTATGGTTTGACTTTGATTCCTTTCTTAAGGATTAACACTTAAAAAGTAATACACATCAACTTCAGCTGAGTATTAATAGCAGTATCTTTTACTGAGAGACAAGAAGTACAAGGCAGGTAGAACTGGCCATGCTGCTTCCATTGCCAGAGTGCTGGACGGTGGAGGGAAGAGTACGACGTAGGATACACACATTCATACCAAGACATGGTCCCCTTTTGGATTCAATATCTTTTCCCCAAGGAAAGGAAAGTCACAGAATTTTACTTCTCAGAAGCCTTCCTTCACTATAGTCCATACAGCCCTGATAAAGCATACTGGAGAGAAGGAACATTCGGCTGTCCATATCATTTTAGCCCACAACTCCCATCAGCCTCAAAGACACTGTAGGAGCTGTAGTCCGACACAGCTTGTGTAAAACTCTTACCCATTCCAGTAGTACACATATTTTTTAATTGGCTGACCATCTTGCTCCTGATAGTCTATAAGTAGATCTGGGTATTATCCAAGCAACTCTTTCCACATAAGAAAGACACCTTGGGGTAAACAGAAAGAACAGGCTTCTTCCTGATGCAATGACTTGGAGCATGTGATATATAAAATCTGTAAAGAGTGCCTTTATGATCACACWATCCCATTCTAGACACTCTTAACCACCTCAGATCAGATAGTCTTTGGTCCAAATACATGCCCACAAATGTAATGTTATAGTTAAACTCACTGAGGGGGGGGGGGGGGGTCTRCACTGCCCTATATCCCAGGATCTGATCCAAAATTATCTGCTTTGAACTGGATTATATGAGTCCCCACTGCCATATAATCTGGGATAATCAGATAATATCCTGGTTGATTGCTCTTGGGGTGCAGGGAAGTGTAGAAGGGGCCTGAGATTTACTGACTTACTCAAGTGGTTTTTCACACACCAAAGTAGAAAAATAAAGAAAACAAAGCAACTTTCATAAGATGTATCCCAAACAAGACATTTCATGAAAGAAAGAAAAAAAAATCAGACTCTAAATTGCAGTATGGAAACACTAAATATATGTGCCCTTTAAGTAGTATATAAAGATCATTGCTGATCAAACATATTTTGTCATTTAGCAAAACTTATTGCTGTTGTTTATGCTGAATGAGCAAAAAGCCTTCTCCAAATGCAATTCAAACATGAGATCCCCTCTCCTTTAAATAGGGAGAGGGGGGAGTGCAAATAATTTTTAATAGCACTTAGGTCCAGGATCCTGAAATCATAACCTCATCTTAAAGGGATCATTCTACTGGACCCCAGGTGCTTGCAGCATTTGAGAAAGCTCAGGTGTGTTGAGGAAAACTTGTATGGCTCTACGATTTGCATTAAAGGAGGCTCAAGGGTGCTACTAGCTTTGCAGATGTGCTGTCTTTTTAAGGTGACTGGGATGGCCTCCCACTTAGATTTTTTAAAGATGCAGCAGTGCACTCACACCATCCCTGATCAACCAGCAACCCCAAGCTTTGTAGAAGAGTCCATGGGCCAATGAGATAAGCTTGATATTTGGCTCAACTCTGCAAGGCAGCAAGCAGGTGCTGTTTTTATCCAATGACAATTCAGTAGATTCAAGTGGGAGGCAGGAAAGGGGGTGCAAGGATAGGATGCAGCTTGCAAGTAAGTGTTGGTCTCAGTCGGAGTCACTGCTGCTGGAAGAGGAGGAGGAATGCTGTAAACAAGAGAAAGAGAGAGAGAGATAGGAAAACTCCATGAGATGTCAATGTTAATATTTCATTGCTGAAATCTAATCAGGCTCTCGTCTCTCCCAGCTCCAGAAAATATCAGGTGACAAAGTTAGCATGATACAATCATCAAAACCCATTTCCTATATTTGCAGATTGGTTATTTATTTTAAAGCAAGATTCTGAAAATATACAGGATATTTCAGCATTCCAGAAATTTAACAAAAAGTCATAAAACCCAAATTCTCCTCGCCCACCTCAAAAACACTGTAGTATATTCTAAGTGACAGCTGATGGGTCACATTGCTACTACTGGGCTCTAGACACCTTTGTCAATTGAACCATCCTCTTCCTGTGATGCCCACTGAGCAAAATCGAGAGGAGGTTTAAGCATATCAAGATCTCGAACCTTTTCCACTCATGCCTCCTTTTTGTCAAGAAACATTTATATGACCCCAGGTATAAAAGTAAAGGTTTCCCATTGACATTAAGTCTAGTTGACTCTGGGGGTTGGTGCTCATCTCCATTTCTAAGCCAAAGAGTTGGCATTGTCCATTGACACCTCCAAGGTCATGTGAAAAGCATGACTGCATGGAGCGCCGTTCCCTTCCCATAGAAACAGTACCTATTGATCTACTCACATTTACATGTTTTCAGACTGCCTGGTTCGCAGAAGCTGGGGCTAACAGTGAAAGCTCACCCCACCCCCTGGATTCGAACTGCCGACCTTTTGGTCAACAAGTTTAGCAGCTCAGCGGTTTAACCCACTAAGCCACCAGGGGCTCTGACCCCAGATGTATATGTATATAAAATATGGTATACATATCAAATCAAACATTCACTGATAATAAATCAGCAAAGCGAAACAGACTGATTTACCTTCTGTGGAATACAGCTGAAACATTTACTGCAGAATCCACTGTAAACACTGCAATGTTGTTGCTAACAGATTTATGCAAATAGGCGATGTTCAGAAACCTTTGACTACTGCCAAATTTTTCATGACAGCAACGTTGAGCTAAAGCAGGGTTCCTCAAACTTTTTAAACAGAGGGCCAGGTCAGGGTGCCTCAAACTGTTGGAGGGCCGGATTATAATTTGAAAAAAACATGAATGAATTCCTATGCACACTGCACATATCTTATTTGTCGTGCAAAAAAAAAAACACTTAAAAACAATACAATAATTAAAATGAACAATTTTAACAAATATAAACTTATTAGTATTTCAATGGGAAGTGTGGTACTGCTTTTGGCTGATGAGATAGGATTGTTGTGTGCTTTCAAGTCGTTTCAGACTTAGGTTGACCCTGAGTGAGGGCCGGGTAAATGACCTTGGAGGGCCGCATCTGGCCCCCGGGCCTTAGTTTGAGGACCCCTAAGTTAAAGGGACCCCATTTGGACTTGGGACCCACAGTTTAAGAAGCAGTGCTTTAGTGTGTAATATTTTACATATGTACATAACTGTGAACAAAACCAAAGAATGCAGAGGAGCTTATCATTGTTTCAGAACTATATTTGTATAAACTTCCATATCTAGATTAGAAACTAAAATACAATTTGACACATAAAAATATTGCAAACAAATTGTAAACCAAGCAGATGCCTTCTGCTGATTTCAGACTTTATTAAAATACACTTAACATTTTCTGAATTGTACTTAGTTCTCTTCTCTCCTTTATTTCTACTGCTGTTTTTCTGTTTTCCCCCTTCTGTACCTCTTCTGGCAATACTGTCACTGCCAAGGATCCTTATTGTCACCTTCAGCTCCAAAAGAACCATGCAGAGCTAATAACCTAGCTTCATAATCCAGTTAGTAACTGAGCTCATCTTGTTATTGCCCTTCTGATACAAAACAAGAGCAACGAGTGGTTTTTTGATCATATTATGTTTTTTGGATATAATAAAATGTCAATCTTTTGCGGAAAGGAGAGGAAAAAGGAGAAATATGCAAGGGAAAATGACAGGAACAAGAGAAGTAGATAAATACAAGTGAAATTATATTCAAAATAATAGATAATTGGTTAAAAATAAATTCCATTTTACAATTTGAGAGTAAGAGGCTGGAGCAAGAAAGTTTACTGGTAACTGCTTTTAACACAGGTCCATCCAAGTGCGGAAACATACACAAATACTAAATAAATAAATCTCAGAATGACTGAAATCATAAACTAGATTTTTTTTCGTGTCAGGAGCGACTTGAGAAACTGCAAGTTGCTTATGGTGTGAGAGAATTGGCCGTCTGCAAGGACACTCCCCAGGAGACGTCCGGATGTTTTACCATCCTGTGGGAGGCTTCGCTCATGTCCCCGTATGAGATGCTGGAGCTCACAAACGGGAGCTCACCGGGCTCCCTGGATTCGAACTGCTGACCTTTCGGTCAGCAGTCCTACCAGCACAAGGGTTTAACCTTAACTAGATAGAAGAAAAGGAACCATTCTTAAGGTATGTTAAAAGGCTGTCTATTTTTATAGGCCGCAGTGAGAGTGCTTTCTCACACTGAATGTGCTAGGAGCATTTTAAAGAAGTTGTTTTAGTGCATACCAATCCTGAAAATCTTGTTCCTGCCCTAATAGACTCACCAGAATAACACAGTTTAACAATGCTTTAAACAGTGTTTGTATTCTAAATGTGATGGCCCAGAATCTAGTATCTACCCCTGGGGACTTCATGATATTAGCTTATTTTATTTTCAAAATAGCTTGTTAATATGTTTTTTTATTTAAAAGAGGGGGATGTTGCACTTCCTCTGACTGCAGAAATGTGCTTGGGGTAAACATAATGGAAATTAGCTGATGAAATATAAATGTAACAGGGCCTTGAGGACCATGAGTTAGCGACATATATGCACGGAAGCAAGACCCCCTAGGCATATCCTTACAGAAAGTGTGGGAGAATTAATACTTCCTTTTATTCAACCTTATCATACGCTGGTCTGGCTATGGCTGGATCTACACTGCCATATAATCCAGTATCCTATTCCAGATTATATGCTCCAAACTGGATTATATGATTCTACACTGCCATACAACCCAATTCAAAGCAGACAGAATCATAGAATAATAGAGTTGGAAGATACCACGTGGGCCATTTAGCCCAACCCCCTGCCATGTAGGAAAAGCACAGTCAAAGCACCCCTGACAGATGGCCATCCAGCCTCTGTTTAAAAGCTTCCACCACATTCCAACGCAGAGAGTTCCACTGCTAAACACCTTTAACAGTCAGTAAGTTCTTCCTAACATATTGGATTATATGGTAATGTAGAGGGAGCCTAAGCCAATGGTAGCCCGAATTCAACATCATCAAGGAAGCCATTCCTAGGTCACACAGGAACATCTCCTTTTGCTAATAAAGCCTCACCTCACCCAGAGTTTTTCCTTCTATGATTGTTTATGACTAGTTTCCGGGAATGTGAATGTCTCAATTTGTCTCCCCTCCCTACCCTGAAACTCTGCCTGGCTTCTATGGAAGGCCTCCGTCATTGATACCCTATGGGCCATCAAGCAAAAGTTGACACTGACAAAACAAGCCATCTTTGCTTAGTCAGTATAGCACTCCTTAGCAGCAACTGAGAGGAGCTCCTGATCCAGGCTTCTACCACTTCCAATCCATCCCTTCCCTTCCTATCTCTTCTACTAACCTTCCCATGAAGCTTGTGAAGCTTGTGTGGCTTGTGCATCTTCTTGTGGGCCTTCTTCATCTTCTTCCTCATCTTCTTTTCAGCCTTCTTATCCATCACATGGGCTCCCATGGCAACGCCCCCAGGCAGCAAAGGGTTAACCCCCATTCCTCCAGGCATGCCGGGGGCAGGTGGAGGGTAGGGGCCGCCAGGTGGGATAGGGTAACCAGGTTGGTGCCCAGGATAGGGAGGCTGAACGGGGTGCCCTGGTGGATAAGCAGGCTGCCCAGGGATGCCTCCGGGAGGAGCAGGGTAGGAGCCAGCAGGGACAGACCCTGGAGGGAAGGCAGGGTTCACGGGAGGAGGGTGTGCGGGGTTGAAGCCGGATGGGTAAGAAGGGTTGGGAGGATAGGCTGCTCCAGGGTAGGTGCCTGGCTGGCCTTGAAATTAAAAAAAAGAGAGAGAAACACAAAAGAAAGTGTGATGAGCTGCAAGGCAAGAGGTATCCAATCATTTGGTGATGAATTCCTAAGGCAGATACTGACATTGCAGTCTAGCTGTACCCGGCAACTTTGCCAGAGTTGGTATTCTCGAAGCCAGGGGGAAAAACTGTTCTACTCCTTGGGCTAAATCCCAGGCCTCCCAAGTGTTAATCTTTCAGGCCCATAATGGCAGTATCTAGCCCAAACTGTGTGTTGTGGCAGGTTAGTGTGTCGGCTGTGTCACACAAATGTAATGAGAAACCTCTGAGTCTGTGTGAAATAAGGAATACGGAATAAACTATAAAACCATTATAGTTTTAATGGTTTTATATGGATTTTATTATGTTATATTAAACATTTTAAATTGATATTTATATATGGATGTTGTGGCATCAAATCATTGCCAATCTGTACGCCTCCTTGAGTCGCCTTCAGGCTGAGAAAGATGGGATAAAAATGCTGTAAATAAATTAATAAATCCTCTCTCTGTGTGTGTGTACATACATGCATATATACATACATATGAAATGTGTTCATGGGATATGTTCGGTCCCCATACATTTCGTTATTAACTTATCAAGTTTGAAAGCTGCAGGAAATATCTCCCCCTTCTCCGTCATGACTGAAGAATGTGCATGGCCCAAAGCAGCCACCATACAGTCCATTGGACACCTTTACCCAGAACTATGTTGCCTGAAGTGATTTGGTTGCCAGCCAAGAGACACTTGCTAAAGCGATTATTCTTTGGGCAAAAAAGAGCTCCTGTCTGTATTGACACCAGGATTTCTGTGTCCCAAAGGACAAGAGTTCAATTTCTTGAATTGGTGGCTATTCTTAAGGTGGCTATTTGAATGGCATCAAAAAAGAGAAGGCAGACAGAAGGTTTTGTCTGTGTGTGTGTGTGTGTGTGTGCAAGCTCAGAATGAGCCACCTGTGATGCATCAGTGCAGTCAATGCACTCTGCTGAGTCACTGAGGAAAGCATCTTGCATGCAGCTAAAACCACGCACGTGGGCAGTTCTTCCAAAACAACCTGAGGCAAGCCAGTTCCTTCCCAGAAAGCAATCTAACCAAGCTCACTGTAATCAATCCACTGTTTAGAAATATTATTTTTAAGACTGTAAGGCATTCTTGAAGTTACATTCCACCATTTTTTCAAGGTCTATACCAACTGTCTGTGGTTGCCTCTGTATAGGATTACTGTCGCAAAACACTTGCTATTGTCATCCGGATAAATTTTATTTGCTAGTAAGATGCCTTGGCATCAAATATATCTTGGCGATTATCTTGTCTCTTTCTAAAAACTTACAAACCCACACAATCACTTCGATCTTCCGGAGAGGCTCTTCTCTCGTTCCCACCCGTATCACAAGTGCGACTTGCGGGGACGAGAGAGAGGGCCTTCTCTGTGGTGGCCCCTCGGCTCTGGAACTCACTTCCCAGCGATATTAGGCAAGCCCCTACACTGGCAATCTTCAGGAGGAATCTGAAAACCTGGTTATTCCAATGTGCCTTTAGTGATTGAACGTAAGATACTCCCTGACCATTTTTTTTTCACAAAATGACCTCAATAGCACATTATTTTATGGTTTGTGCAATTAAATCCCTCCTCATCCCGGATCCTCCTCCTGATGTTTGACATTGTCCTATCTCCCAGTGTTTTAAAATTTTATCTTGAATTTGGCCCTGCAAAACCTTTTTTGTTTTAATGTCTGATTTTATATTGTTGTGTTGCTTATTATATTGTTTTGTATTTCATACATTTTATTTTTTGGTTTATTATGTTTTGTGTTATATTGTTGTGTATTGTACTGATGGGTGTGGCCTTTATGTAAGCCGCACCGAGTCCCCTTGGGGGAGATGGAGCGGGGTATAGATAAAGTTTTATTATTTTATTATTATTATATAAAAAGCACATGCACCCTTTTTTTTCTTTTGCTTCCAGTTAGTATCTCAAGTATGCCTGGGGCTCAAAGATAGCAGACATAACCCTGAGTAACCTTTATGCTGTTTCATAAATGGTATGGAGAAGGAGCCAGAAGTAACAACCATGATGTTGTTACCTATCAGGACAGAAGGGCATAGGCCACACATTCCCTATGATGAAGTAGCCTAAAGCGATGTCCCCTAAGGTTTGGTCCTGATGTTTTAGATGTCATCTTCCAAAATCCTTGTCAGAAATTCTGAGTGTTAAAGTTCCAAGATTAAGCTGACCAAGAATAGAGAAATCCCGTAAGACCTGTTGTCCCCTTTTACCTGCATTGGGATCCCACATGGTCCTACAGAAGCGAAGCCTCTGTCACCTGGTGGGAAAAAGGTTCTGTTAGATCAGCAGAGTAATAGCAGAGGGCCACCAATACGGCATAACTCAATACAGATGGAATCAAGTTTTTATTCAGATCAGAATCAACACCATTAGGTCAAATTGCACAAGACAGGCCAAATATGATTTTTAAAATGCTACATTCTTCCATGGAATAGTTTTGGAACAAGGGGAGCAGAAAGACGCCATAATGAAGGTCAGAGCTGGGAGGAAAAAGTGCATACAGGAAAGGGGGGGGGGTAGTTTGAGTGTGTGTTTACTTTAATCTGACTCTGGTGTACTATAAAACCCATGATGCAGATTGTCTGGTGTGGCCCACCTGATAGTGTTTGTTTGAGTGTGTGTTTACTTTAATCTGACTCTGGTGTACTATAAAACCCATGATGCAGATTGTCTGGTGTGGCCCACCTGATAGTGTTTGTTTTCTGCAGAGTAAACTATTGAATTTTAATCTCCTCATTTCTAGTGTCTGATTGGGAATAGAGACTAGATATTTGGAAATGGAACCTCAACACTATCGCTGTTTCCAATACTGCAAATAAAGATAAGATGACTTTTTGCTGTTGTTCATTCGTTCAGTCATTTCTGACTCTTCGTGACTTTATGGACCAGTCCACGCCAGAGCTCCCTGTCGGCCATCTCCACCCCCAGCTCCTTCAAGGTCAATCCAGTCACTTCAAGGATACCATCCATCTATCTTGCCCTTGGTCGGCCCCTCTTCCTTTTTCCTTCCATTTTCCCCAGCATCATTCTTCTCTAAGCTTTCCTTTCTTCTCATGATGTGGCCAAAGTACTTCATCTTTGCCTCTACTATCCTTCCCTCCAATGAGCAGTCGAGCTTTATTTCCTGAAGTATGGACTGGTTGGATCTTCTCGCTGTCCATTTATCTGTATTTTATATTTTGCAAAAAGTTTATTTTATAGTCAACACTGTCTGTCATTATTGTGTTAAAATATTCTAATATTAGAGTGAGCCTTTAGATGATTTATATCATTTCATGTATAGAATGTTTACATTTTAAATTGTTTTAAAGTAATATTTTAGAATGGCTTGTATTTAATGTTTTGGGTTGCTTTTTTGTATTTCAGAATGTTTTTAGCTATTGTTTTAATGTAGAATGTGGGCTGCTTTTGGTCCCTTGTGGGGGGAAAACAGCAAGATATAAAAGAAAGAAATAAGCCTATTTTCCATGTGGTTGGCCGCAGTGTCTAACAAATGATTTTGCTATAAAATAATGCATCCAACTGAAAAGAATCCAAAATAACATTCCACAGTATAGGTTTTCCAACACTTTAAACCATATTAAAGCACTGAAAGCAGAACTTAAGGTGGAGGATAAGATCTGAAATCAGTATCAGCCAGTGTTAGGACCAGCAGGAATCCACAAGACCTGTCAGGTAGAAGCAGATAAGCCAAACCAATCCTTTTTGTAAACATGATAGAATGACCATGAAGCAAAGGTTTTGATATTACTAGGAAGGATGCATGGATTTCGCACTATTGGTGTAAATCAGTGGTTCTCAATCTTTGGTCCTCCAGGTGTTTCGGAGTTCAAATCCCAAAAATCCCAGCCATCTTACTAGATGTTAGGAATTGTGGGAACTGAAGTCCAAAACTGACACCAAATTTGGACACAATACATGTATCAGGCCAATGAGTGACCATCACTCATAAAACAGAGAAAGGAGACTTAAAAAACCAAAAAAGCAAAAAGATGCTACAGCCATGAGCAAAAAGACTCCCCTGGCAAACAAAATACACAATAGCATATCCACACTATTCTGCATTACAGCTCCCAGCACCCCCTAGATCAGGCCCTTTAGGAGAGGAGGATGATCCAAATGCACTGCTTTCAAGTTGCAAGCTTTCTTCTCATTGGATTTCTTTGAGAGCATCCCAATTCCTGCATATTTCCAATTTCCTATTCCCGGACTGCAACTCCGAGCAATCCTCCAGATAGATAGATTAGATGGAGATATATAGGTAGGTAGGTAGATGGATCAGGAGGACTAATGGGAGTTGCAGTCCAAGAATAAGTAGAGAAGGAAGAAAGGGGAGAAAGAAAAGGGAAAAGGGAAGGAAAGAAGGAGAGGAGAGAAGGAAAGAAAAAAGAGAAGGAAATGAAAGGGAGGGAAGGAGAGAAAGAAAGAAAGAAAGAAAGAAAGAAAGAAAGGAAGGAAGGAAGGAAGGAAGGAAGGAGAGAAAGAGGAAGTTTGGCCACAGCAACGTGTGGCGGGCACAGCTAGTTGTTAATAATAAAACTCATGTGTTTTGAAACATAACTATTGTACTTAGACGTCTCTCCTCCCCATATTATAGACAGGACATCTAATATCCAATGGCATCCCATCCAACCAAACTAGTTTTACTAAGATGTTGTGGTGAGCACTTCCTTGTGTCACTATGACATCTTTCCTTGTTCCAAGTCAAAAGCAATTGTTCTGCTGCTGCAGCTAAAACCATGGCTTCTCTTACAGTATGATATCTCAGTCTGACACTTACATAAGGTACAACCAGAACAGTTTTACGACAAGAAGGGGAAGACATGCTTATTTAGGTCTACAAGAACTAAGGAAGGTCTACCCAGCCAACATACATGGTTTGAATTGAATACTGCAATAAGTACACTTAAGCAAATGAGAAGAGGAACCAACAATGAAAGAGAAAAGGACTGAGTATGAAAGAAAAACCCTGAAAAAAACACAAACCATCAGGTAGCAAGAGAAATCGGACAGGACTTGCAGGATAGAGGAACTTGAAGATTCAGCTTGGGAATTGTTAGAGGGCTCCTAGTCACCACCATCTCAAATGATGGAACAAACCAAATTATTTGCATTAATTTGCAATCCTATGAACCCTTTCCTTGGGGTGCAGCTGTGTTAGTCTGATGCAAAATAGTCTGGTGACACTTTTATGACAAACTGCTACAATGTAATTTAATATAAGATTTTATATACTCCAACCCATTTATTTTATTGAAGTATTGGTGTAAAATAAGAATTAAAGATCCAATTGCAGGCTGATTTGTTGGAGTGATCCTGATCTGCTCCATTTTGCCAACAGCTGACTTGGTCTGAATTATTTGATTATTGTTTCCCCTGTCAATTGTGTTATGCTAGAAATGGCATAACAACAACATTATGTGCCCAGGGCAAACAACCAGATGTTATGGCTACATACAAGTCCCAGGCCCTGAGAACTTCCTAACAAAGAGCAAACAATCTCTGGCTACATTGTGCACTGTTCACACAGTCATCAGATAAGGATTACCATACATGCATTAGATAGTGCTCATGCGAACTGTGTTTTTGTCTGCTTAACCCTGAAGTGTTAGAAAACACTGACATTTAGAATAAACTTTGTGCCAATCAGTGATATGAGTAGGTTGGACTGAAATGAATGCTGGCGATTAGTAGTCCCTTTAGCCAAAGTTATTATTTGTTGTCCGTTTGCTTTTCTGCTCAGTTTCAGGGCTCATTCCAGCTCCGCGTTTCACTTTAGAAGTACATGAGGGTATTTCAGTCCTACCCAACAGCAAAAAAACTTTTAAAAATCATGTCAGAAGCGAATTGAGAATAAACTTCAAGTCGCTTCTGGTGTGAGAGAATTAGCCGTCTCCAAGGACATTGCCCAGGGGATGCCCGGATGTGTTACCATCCTATGGGAGGCTTCTCTCATGTCTCCACAGGGGAAGCTGGGGGTGACAGACAGGAGCTCACCCCGTCTCGCGGATTTGAACCACCGACCTTCAAGTCAACAGTTCATCCGGCACAAGGGTTTAACCCACTGCAGCTCTTTAGCAAAAAAAAAAAATCAGCATTAGATACTTGCGGTCCTTCAGACTGGAGCTTCCATGTTTCTTTACTGTTGGCAAAACTGGCTAGGACTCATGGGGACATCCCATCTTGAGTAGTCTACAATCTGGAAAGTTTCAAATTGCTCACGTTTGATTAAAATCAGGAGTAGGCAAAGTGTTGCCCTCCAGATGTTACTGGCTAGCAGCCGAAAATATCTGCAGAGCCACATCTATATAAATAAAAATGTAATGTTCGTTTGTGGGATTAACATAACTCAAAAACCACTGGACGAACTGAGACTAAATTTGGACAAAATACACCTAACTGGCCAATGAGTGACCATCACTCTTAAAAACACTGAAAAACACAGCGGGACTTAAAAAGTAAAAAAATAAAAAATATATTACAACGTATGTGCAAAACCACACATATATATGCAAACGCACATATGCACAAATATATACACACACAAAATACATATACACAGACTGGGCCACAGCAATGCGTGGCAGGGGATGGCTAGTTTAAAATAAAGGAGAAGTAGGGAAATCAGAGATACCAACCAAATAGCGCCAGAGAGGAAGAAAAGCAATTTGGTAATTGATAAGATACCTTAATAGCAGGTAACTCCCATTATTTCAGATTTCAGATACTGCATAATAATAAACACTTGTTCGCATGAGTGGCCCTCAGTTCTGCTTCGGCTACACTCTGGTAAACAGTTTATGTTCCAGTTTTAGGAGCAAGGACCCAAGTCTGAGAGACCATCAGCCATGGCCATCTAAATTAGGAGCACATCTGGAAGGCTGCACTTTGCCCATCACTACTGTATAGAGTCATTAAGCAAGACGCTATGTCAAACCTAGTTGCCTGCTTGTTAAAATGAAACCATTAATAGTTGAGAGTAAGAAATTAATGAATCATTGTTTTACCAACAGCAACCTTAAGGTACAGGCCAGGTCATCTGAATTAATTTTAAGAAGATGGAGTGATGCATCAGACTCTCAAAAGTAACTACATAACAACATAACCTAATACTACTGTAGTGCAAATATCATTCACGCTATAATCCAACCATCCAATATATAAGACAACAAGCTGGATTCAAATCCTAGATCCATTACTGAGCTGTCGGAAAATGTCTTTTATATTCAGACTTCAATTTTCCCATCTGTACAATAGGAACAATTAAGATTGGCCCTCCGATCTCCCAAAATGTGTGGACTTAAGCAACAAATCTTGCTGTAACATTCACTTTTTCCATCTTTATTCCAGACAACGCATCCTTCAGCATAGAACAAGTTTCACTTGACCAGCACCTGTACTCTCAGTCTCTCTTCTTAGTTTATCTAACATATTCAAACACTCTGAGAAAAGTCTGGACATTGAAGAAAAGTAACAGCAGCAAATTAAACCCATTTGAATGTGGGGCTGGAGAAGAGTTCTGCGGATATGGTGGACTGCTAAGAAGTCCCATAAATGGGTGCCCAAGAGCATATCAATATTATTTATTTATTTATGTACCCTATTTATATCTCACCTTTCTCAACCTCAAAGAGGACTCAAGGCGGCTTTACATATAGGCAACTATTCAATGCTTTAAAACAACATATAATTTAAAAAAATAATACACATAAAAACATTTAGAAACATTACATTCATTATTAAAACCACACCATCCACAATCATAATCTGGGGCCATTCCAGTAGTCATTGCACATAATCTGTATCTATTATTACATTACAATTATTCTCTGAAGGCTTGATCTCAAAGCCACATTTTCACTTTCCTTCTGAAGGCCAGGAGGGAGGGGGCTGATCTAATGTTGCTGGAGAGTTCCACAGCCACCACGGAGAAGGCCCTATCTCTCGTCCCTACCAGTTGTACCTGCAAAGGAGGCAGGACTGAGAGCAGGGCCTCCCCAGAAGAGTTCAATACTGAACGCTCCCTAGAAACTAAGGCCCCTTCCACACCGCTGAATAAAATCCCACATTTTCTGCTTTGGACTGGAATATATGGCAGTGTGAACTCAGATTACCCAGTTCAAAGCAGATATTGTGGGATTTTCAGCCTTGATATTCTGATTATATGGCTGTGTGAAAGGGCCCTGAGTTCACAGTGCCATATATTCCAGTTCAAAGCAGCTATTATGGGATTGTCTACCTTGATATTCTGGGTTATATGGCTGTGTGAAAGAGCCCTGAGTCCACAGTGCCATATATTCCAGTTCAAAGCAGATATTGTGGGATTGTCCTTGATATTCTGGGGTATATGGCTGTTTGGAAGGGCCCTGAATCTGCCATATATCCCAGTTCAAAGCAGATATTGTGGGATTTTCTTAAACCCCTGTGCCGGCAGGACTGAAGACCGACAGGTCGCAGGTTCGAATCCGGGGAGAGCGGATGAGCTCCCTCTATCAGCTCCAGCTCCTCATGCGGGGACACGAGAGAAGCCTCCCACAAGGATGATAAAACAGCAAAACATCCGGGCATTCCCTGGGCAACGTCCTTGCAGACTGCCAATTCTCTCACACCAGAAGTGACTTGCAGTTTCTCAAGTCGCTCCTGACACGACCAAAAAAAAAGGGGGGGGGGGGACATGGCTCACCAGAAAATAAGACAATAATGACTGGTAAGTTAGAAGTCAGATGGAAAATAAGATCACACTACAGATGGATAGGTTCACTTATGGAAGCCAAAGCCTTGAGTCAGTGAGAGCGACTGTTCAGTGCTACTGGAAGACTCTCACCCATAGGTTCACTATAAGCCAAAGTTTACTTAAAAGCAGTTGACAACAAAAAGGGTCACACTTTAATAACACTATGTAACAACATTTGATTTTTACCCCTGGTTCCTGATTTTATAGAATTGGAAGAGACCTCATGGGCTATCCAGTCCAACCCCCTGCCAAGAAGCAGGAAAATCACATTCAAAGCACCCCCAACAGATGGCCATCCAGCTTCTGTTTAAAAGCCTCCAAAGAAGGAGCCTCCACCACACCAAATATTAATTCCTGTTTAATTGTGCGGTACTTACTTTGAAAGTAGTTGTTATACTCCAGAAACTTTGTTTTTGTGGCTGCCACAAACTATGTTCAATTGGTTGGGACTCGATGAAATAGTCATTGAAAAGCTATAGCAAAAATGTGCTGCAGGATGTCCCACATAAACAAAGTTTTTGCATATTAATAAACTTTCCCCATGTTTTTATGATAGAATCAATTAGGAAATGACATTTATAACCCAGAGACAAAAATCATGTTACAAGCCAGGCAATGCAGGGAGACACTGCGTCCTCAACACAGAAACAGGATATTTGATGGTGATGATTATGATACTCATTGATATTCCCTCCTTTCTCCATACAGGAGGGCTCAAGGAGGCTAAAAACATGTTTTCAACTATACAAATGAAAAACAATACAAAAGCCAGAGTTTATATAAGTCTGATTAAAAGTGTATATTGAAATACACACAATTACACCTGATCACAAGAGCACCCACCTGCCTCCCTTCAGCCCTTTCTGTTCCTGCTTCTTCACTCTCTGCAACTCTGAAGTCTCCACTTCCTGGAACCTGATTCTATCTCCACCTCTTTCATTCCCATTGGCTTGCGGCTCTCAACGCCCTCTTCCTATAGGCTAAGGAAGATGTCCATCAACAGTTATGCTTCAAAGAGCTGAGAAATGGGGTGTGTGTAAAGGAGACGTCATAGATTTTGTGTTGATAAATACAGACTGAGACTTTGGTTAAGACAGAAGTTAAGCTGTATCAACACTGCAAAAATTAAATTGCCATGGTTCAATGCTATGGGATTTATAGTTTTACAGGTTTTTAGCATTCTCTGATCAAAAGTTTTGGGGCCTCCCCAAACTACAACACCCAGGACTCCATAGCATTGAGCTATGGAAGTTAAGTTGGTATCAAGTTGTGTTAATTCCACGATGTAGATGCACCCCTAAACTTTTATGGGTGATTGGGTTTTGTAGATGTTTCTCAAGCTTCAGAACTACATTTTTTGAAAGCAGGGCCATTTAAGGCCATTTAGTGAGCTCCCGCTGTTAGCCCCAGCTTCTGCCAACCTAGCAGTTCAAAAACATGCAAATGTGAGTAGCTTAATAGGTACTGCTTCTGCGGAAAGGTAACAGCGCTCCATGTAGCAGTTCAAAAACATGTAAATGTGAGTAGCTCAATAGGTACTTCTTCTGTGGAAAGGTAACAGCGCTCCATGTATCCATGCTGGCCACATGACCTTGGAGGTGTCTATGGGCAACGCTGGCTCTTTGGTCCAGAAATGGAGATGAGCACCACCCGCTAGAGTCGGACACAACTAGACTTAATGTCAGTGGAAACTTACCTTTTTAAAAGCTAGCTTCAAACTGCAGCAATCAGGCAATAAACTCCCACAAAAGAACTTGAAAGAAATTCTTTCTTGAGCATCACTGGTCTGTTATATAATCACCATCTGGGCTACAAACCTGTTCTAGGATTTTATATGTAATCATCAGCACAACCAAACCACTTTCTTCAATATCGGTTTGGAACTGCATTAATAGAGAAATAAAGCAATACTGTTGTGTATTGTCGAAGGCTTTCATAGCTGGACTCACTGGGTTGTTGTAGGTTTTTTCGGGCTATATGGCCATGTTCTAGAGGCATTCTCTCCTGACGTTTCGCCTGCATCTATGGCAAGCATCCTCAGAAGGATGCGTTTGCCATAGATGCAGGCGAAATGTCAGGAGAGAATGCCTCTAGAACATGGCCATATAGCCCGAAAAAACCTACAGCAACCCAATATTATTGTGTGTTGAAGTAGGGATTTGCAGCAGGTGTGTCGCTTCTCCTGAACAGGCTGACTGGCTTATTGTGAAAACAAAGTCCATATCAAAAGGCGGAGCTGATGAACAAAGGGACACAGTATTTATTTAGTACACTAGCAGAGTTTGCATTGGAACAAGCGAAACCAGAGGGGGAGAGAGAGAAATAGGAGTGCCACCAAGAATTAAAAGAAGTTGAACGACTGCATGCCTGTTCTACAAGGTTGACTTCAAAAACCAACAATGTTTTGGAAGAAATGCAGAACCATTTATCTGAAATCAGTCCTGCTTAAATCTGACAAATTGTGTGTGTTCAACATGATATAGTAGGATAGTGATAAAAAAGAATGGATGACATCTCTGACCGAGCACCGGCTAAAGACACTATTAGGGATTACTCCACGGCTCGGCGGGCAGCCGAGAAAACCTTCTCGACTGCCCACATAGTGTCTGCAGCCAATAGGCCATCAGAGTTGTTCTGGGTTGTTGGGGACACCCTCCACCCACCTGAGGTGAAGGACATCCCTGATGACACGGCAACTCGGTGCAGCGATTTCACGCACTATTTTGCAGGCAAAGTCGCTCGGATACGTCTCGAGCTGGACTCCAATTTAAATGCAATGCCAAATGAGGTAACCAAGGCTCCCGTCTGTCCGATCTTATGGGATTCTTTTCGTCTTATTTTGCCTGATGACATTGACGGGATCCTGGGGGCTGTGAGGGCAACCACTTGTGCTCTGGACCCTTGCCCTTCCTGGCTAGTTAAATTGGCAAAGGGTGGGTTGTTGGACTGGTTTATCTCCATCATCAATGCATCATTGGGATGGGAAATTCCCATCCTGCCTTAAGCAGACAGTGGTAAAATTACTGAAAAAGACTTCCCTTGACCCATCCATGCTGAATAACTACAGACCAATTTCTAACCTCCCTTTTTTGGGCAAAGTGCTGGAGCGGGTGGTTGCCTCGCAGCTCCAGGGGTTCCTAGATGACACCGATTTTCTAGATCGATCACAGTCTGGTTTCAGACCCAGGCACAGTACCGAGATGGCTTTGGTCACTCTGGTGGATGACCTCCATAGAGAACTAGACAAGGGGAGTGTGTTCCTGCTGGTTCTCCTGGACATCTCAGCAGCTTTTGATACCATCGACCATAGTATCCTTCTGAGTCAGCTTTCTGGAATGGGTCTTGGGGGCACTGCACTGCAGTGACTCCACTCCTTACTGGAGGATTATACCCAAATGGTGATGATGGGGAACACCTTCTCGGACCCCTGGCCATTGACCTGTGGGGTCTCGCAAGGCTCCATTCTGTCTCCCATGCTTTTTACCATCTATATGAAACCGCTGGGAGAGGTCATCCGGAGTTTTGGAGTTGGGTGCCATCTCTATGCGGATGACGCCCAGCTCCACTACTCTTTCCCACCGAATCCAAGGAAGCCCCTCGGATGCTGGACCAGTGCCTGGCTGCTGTATCGACCTGGATGAGGGCAAACAAGCTGAAGATCAATCCCGACAAGACACCCAATATACCTGACCAGGGTATTGGGTGGCAACCTGTGCTGGACGGGGTTGCACTCCCCCTGAAGGCGCAGATCCACAGCTTGGGGGTCCTCCTGGACTCAGCACTGATGTTTGATGCGCAGGTGTCAGTGGTGGCTGGGAGGGCCTTTGCACAATTAAAACTCGTGCGCCAGCTGCAACCATACCTTGCGAAGTCTGACTTTACCATGATGGTCCACGCCTTAGTTACCTCTAGATTGGACTATTGCAATGCACTCTACGTGGGGCTTCCCTTGAAGACAGCCCGGAAAATTCAATTGGTTCAACGCTCGGCAGCCAGAATTCTAACTGGGGCAAATTACAGAGAGCAGTCAATCGTCCTGTTTAAGGAGCTCCACTGGCTGTCGTTCATCTTCCGGTCCCAATTCAAAAAAGTGTTATGTCGTCATGGACAAATCATAGTGCTTGCATGGGGCCATTCTTTTTTTGTCTGTGAAGTATATTTGGCTTGTTGGAAAAGAGATTTGTATGTTGCAAAGTCGCTCAGATACGTCTTTGCACTATATTTGTATTAATACCTGGAAGCCATTGCGCCATCAAGGTTACTGCTAAAAAAAACCCACCCTGGGCTCTTTGCTCCTGACTTTCAATTAGCTTCCCAGGAAAAAAAAACCTTTGAATTTCTGGCAACACTGATGCTGTGACTTTGATACAGCTCAGGAAATCTTTTGGTTTTAGTTGCTCCCTTGCTACATGGTGTCCAAAAATAAGAGCACAATCGCAATATAAATTTAAACCTATTTGAAAATTATATAACTATCATGAGCCCCATCCACAAACCATAAAAATGGTTGCCTAACTCAAGTCATTAGTCTCAGATAGACCCATTGAGTGAGTTGGATCTGTTAACTCTATAGGTTTGCTATAATTCGGGCTAGCAAGTGAATTTCCAATTTCATGTTGGGGATGACGTTTATCAAAAAAAAAAAAACCCAAAAAACCCTCCAGCCATATCAAGTTTCCTGTCTGTTTCTCTCTGTGATGTTACAGAGATAGTGCAGAAAAGGATTGGAGAGGCTGACCAGATTTAGAAGTGTATCTACATCAACCAGATAAATCTAACTTTGTAACATCCTGGAACATTTTGGCTATCCATAAAGCCGATCAGTCCCAAGAATGCATTGGGGCTGTCAGTGCATCGCTATCAGCAGGCAGCTTCCTCTCAGAATGAAGGGACACACACTTAAGGTCACATTGCTTGGCACCAGAAATGACATCACAATGGCATCAACAGCAAGCCTCCAGGATGGAGCTGCTTGCTGGTGGCAAGCAGCCATCAGCTTGTCAAAAAATAGCTGGTCAAAAAATAGCTGGTCAAAGCTTTGAAACTGTGGGATCAATCCATGTTCTGTTGATGTGGATTAACATCTGGATGCAGTGATTGTACTGTAACTCCAGCTATGTGCCATAGGAGCTCAGTAATGAGTCCTTTTTATTTTGGCCATGTAGATATGGCCTAAGCCAGCAGATTTTAGAAATAGGCATTAGGTCAATGAGCCCAACATTTGTGTAAAATCTGACAAACCAGGTAATATGGCTATCCAAAGAGAGAGAGAGAGAGAGAGGAAATGTTTTTTAAAATGGTTGGACAGGCACATACAGTGGCTGTTAGTATTGTTGATATTCTTCCCTATAGCACATTTCCATTTTGCTGGGACTTGTAGAAGATTCATTGCCAGACCTTGAGGAGTTCCACACCAGACAGCTTTGAGCTGCTACTGACTAGATCTGTACAATAAGACAACCCATCAACTAAGAAACAACAAAAGAGATTTAGAGATGGGCTTAAAGCTGACCTTTAAAAAATGTAATATGAACATCAAGAACTGGGAAGCCCTGGCACTTGAGCATTGTAACTTCAGGTCAGCTGTTACCAACAATGCTACGGATTTTGGAGAGACACTAATACAAAGTGAAAGGAAGCAAGCAATATGCTTAGAGGAAGACATATCAAGCAAACCCTTGTTGTGACAGCCTTCCGCCTGGAAACCTATGTCCTCAGTGTGAAAGACTTTGTGGATCCAGAATAGGTCTTCATGGAAGTTGATGGATTCACTGCCTAAACTCTACCTCTGGAAGACAATCATACTTAGCCATGAGGGATCACTCATGATGATGTCCAGATCTGTAAAAGAAGAGAAGCTATTAACTAAAAAACTGGTATTTCATTCCCTTGCCTGGTTCCAAATGGTTGATGAAACCAAATGCGC